TTCCACCAGGGGAAAGAAGGCAGCAATACAATTAAAAATGGGGTGGAAGCGGGCAGGTGACAAAATCGGAAGGAAAGGACAATAAATTAAGCTAGACACGGGACGGAAACGGGATTGAAAAGCCAAAGAGGACAGTTGTCAACACGGCGACTGTTTAGAGATCGTTGGATTGGAAAATTAGTCCTTTCACCAAGACTTTCCATTAGAGACTATTGGGGGTGTTCCGCGCTCTTGTGTTAGCTAGTCATTATCGGAAAGCCGCAGTTCAATTTAGTGATACCTAACCGATTGTCTTGGAGCAATTTCTTAAAAATGCCCGAGACGTGTCCACATGATCGCAGCAGTAATAAAGACTGAGAGCTTCCTGTAACATCACACTGTCTTTAGATACAACTGCACCTTTATCTTTACGACTTAATGCAGTTTTTTCCCTAACTAAAAGGGGGAAAAAAGAAGAGGGGGTTCTTTTTCTTGGCCAGCTGATTATTCTTTCTTCAAATGGGCTAAAGTAAATACTGAATTAATCCGTCTAACGTTTTTTATTTATTTATTTATTTATTATTTTTTTTTTCATTCTTCTCTTCTTCTTCCCTCCGGGTAAATTTCCATTCTTGTTTTGGATTATTTTTTCTTTTAACTTGGTAGGATTTTGTTCAAAATTTGAGGATTTTTTTAATATTTATTTCTGTGAGATTTTTTCTGGAGAATTTTGAGATTTTTCTAGATTTATTTTTGTAAATTTATTTAGAGGAATTTTGTGATATTTTTGAGGATTTTTTGGATTTTTTTCGAAGATTTTTTAGGGAATTTGTGAGATTTTTTCAGGATTTTTTGGTATTGAGTTTTGCAAGACTTTTTAGGGAATTTTGTGAATTTTTTTGAGGATTTTTTTGAAGATTTAGAGAATTTGTGAGATTTTTTGAGGATTTTTTTGGTATTGAGTTTTGCAAGATGTTTTGAGGATTTTTTGGTATTAAGTTTTGCACGATGTTTTAGGGAATTTTGTGAGATTTTTTTGAAGATTTTTTAGATTTTTTCGAAGAATTTTTAGGGAATTTGTGAGATTTTTTGAGGATTTTTTTGGTGTTGAGTTTTGCAAGATGTTTTGAGAATTTTTTGGTATTGAGTTTTGCAAGATTTTTAGGGAATTTTGTGAGATTTTTTGAGGATTTTTTTGGTATTGAGTTTTGCAAGATGTTTTGAGGATTTTTTGGTATTAAGTTTTGCACGATGTTTTAGGGAATTTTGTGAGATTTTTTTGAAGATTTTTTAGATTTTTTCGAAGAATTTTTAGGGAATTTGTGAGATTTTTTGAGGATTTTTTTGGTGTTGAGTTTTGCAAGATGTTTTGAGAATTTTTTGGTATTGAGTTTTGCAAGATTTTTAGGGAATTTTGTGAGATTCTTTGAGGATTTTTTAATTTTTTGGAATTGATTTTTGCGAGATTGTTTAGGGAATTTTTGTAATTTTTAAGAAAATATTTTCGAGAGATTTTTAAGACAATTTTTGCTACTTTTTAAAATTAATTTTTGTAAGACTTTTTAAAGACATTTGTGATTTTGAATTTAAAAAAAAAAAAATTACTTTACGGAATTCGTGAAAATTTTCAGTGGTTTTTTAAAAAAATTATTTTGAATTCTCGAAAATTACACACACGTACAAAAAAATTAGCAAAATAATCTCGGAAATAAGATTTTTAAAAGAATTTTCGATCTTAGTGAGTAACTTTGAGAATAGAACTAATAAAAATTCACAATGGAAGCGAATGAAGCTCTGTGCTAAGAATTCTTTTCGCATTTACAATTCGCAAAAACTCGAAAAATTCAGAAAAAAAAAACTACAATCTTCTAGTAAACACGTGGAAAATTTCCTTCATAGAATCGCCTTCCATCGATAAGTATCAATTGACAGAAGGAGCGATGGATTAGTCGAGCAAACGACTAGAAAACCATGAAAGATTCCACAAAGAAATCTCGGAAAAAATATCCTTCTTTGTCGTTCACGAATTGGCACTCTGCAACGGTAAACCATTGCAGATTGCCACATAACATCTCGCGGGGCATTTGTGGATCTTGTGTTTGTATGTGCGTGTGCATGTTTACAAGAGAAAGAACAGGAACGTTAAATAAAAGAGTGCTTTGTCTATCTTTCTCTCTCTTCTGCCTTCGACTTCTAGTACCGTGGCTCCTAGTCTACTCTCCGCAATCTTCCCTACATCCTGTACAGCGTACCGGACAGACAGAATTTAAAAAATATATATATATATATATGAAGAAACACCAGAAGAAGGAAAAAAAAAACTCTGAATTTCCATACTCGTAGTCGTAAAATTAGAGGAAAATCGTACGGCTGCTGCACGTTAACGAGAGGGAATAAGCATGCTGCTAGTGTGATTGCGCGGATACAAATAAGTTTGTATGAGTATGCGACCTTGAAAGAAACAGCAGCAGACATGAAAAACTAGTTGAGCGGGCAGACAAAGTTCAAGGGCCTGATCGCTCCATGTTATATTGGATGGGTACGGTCTCACTCGGAAGATGGAGGTAGAACGGGAACGTTAACGCTACCAGGTGGACCAGTCTATTTTGGCGGGGGCGTGGTTTTCTGATATAGTTTCCAAGGCTGTCCTAGGAAGGGAAGAAGTGTAGGAAAACCACACTTGCTTTCATGGGCTGTGGGAGATTGCTGACTTTATATATATATATACATATATACAAACTACACGCTGGCATCTTTTGTCCCGTTTTCCATCCTATTCTACCTTCGATTTAACACTTAAAAAAGGTGGGGGGATTTAGTTGTGAAATCCACAGACGAGGAGGAAAGATCGCAATAAAAGAAACTCGCGTGCAACAATTTAATATTTTGTTTCAAAAATAAAGTAGGACGATTTTGGCCAAAACCCACGCTTCTATCGGGTAAAATCATAAATCTTTTGAGTAAATGAGGTGTTTATACGTCGTTGTACAAAATTGTACGGAATTATACATGATGAGATCGTTTCGTGTGAAGAAAGATTGCGAGTTTAGAAGTATCTGGCCTATAGAATGCATGCTTTATCATTCTATCAAGCTGTAGTAAAGGATTCTGTTCACAAAGACCATTTCTGCTTACAATTGAGAGAACAATAGGAGACGGAGACAGTAAAGAAAGGTTTTGATCCTCTCGTCCAACACTTAAGCACGTGTTTGAAGAATTTCGTGTGATTTTCATAGAAAATTCTACCACAGAATTATATAGAATTTGAAGCAAATTTCGATTCAATGTTTCACGCCCGAAACACACTACAAACTGCATTGTTACAATTTAAGAACTTTGTATTATATAATTCGAGTGAATAGACTAAACACGCGACTCCATTTACTCAATGTTAAGCGTGTGTTTTGATTATATTATTTCCGGTATCGATCATAAAACGTCACAATACCTCGCACGTGTTTATAGAAGATCGAGTGTATTTACAGAGTATCGCCTTACACCTTATAATAATTTCTGGTCGGGCGAAAAATGGCTTACATACTTCCACCCCTTTGTCCCTAATGAACTTTTTTTTTCGGTGATAATTCTAGAATTTCTACTTTTAGACAGTAGAAGACAGGGATAAGAAGTGTGTGTGACGTATTTAACGAGCGTATAGATACGCAAGGCGGTCCAAAAGTCGGTAAACCATCGAAAAGACTAAATAGCTGTCTAGTTTGACTAATTTGTTAGGTAAAAATTGCCGAATGGCTTGAGTAAAAGTTAACTGACTTTTGGTCCACCCCTGTATACTCAATGTTGACTTTTTTGAATTGGTTTTCTCTAGTTTTTCATTTAATTTATTCGCGATTTAACGCCGATTTGATTTAAATTTTCTCGAATTTTGACTAGTTTAAGACGTGTTTTAATTCTCCTGTCCGTTTCATTCGTTTCAAAGCGTGTTAACCCCTCGAATTTACGAAATTTTCTGTAGAAAAAAAAAATCTTTTTTTACTTTGTTTGATTAATGGATTTAATCCGTTTAAATCCAGAACTTGTCGTCATTCACCCTATTTTCTACGGGATTAAATGCTAATCATTGTTAAATTAATCCCTCTTATTCTTTGTTCACGCGAACTTTATATGGAACCACGACCAAGAGAACGAAATGTTAAGATAAAAATGTAATTTTCAGGGTATTTTAGCTCTTGTATTCTGAAAAAAAAAGAGCATTGTTGGGTGGGGAAGTCGGTGCGGATTAGAACTCTCCCACATCTGTTCCATTACGCCTCTTTTAATCCGGTTTTGTAGCTTAAAAAAACGTTATTTTTTAGAATTTTATCCTTAAAACCTATTCTACAAACGTTATAGAGTTAATGTAGATGATATTTATGCCATAATTTAAGTAAATATGCCTTATATTTTACCATTTTCGATGAAATCTCGAGTTTACTATACTAAAACATTCAACTTTAGTCTCCTACTTATTGTACCAAAATATCTGTGACGTAATTTACTCTAGTCCCCTGCTTACTACATAAAAAAACACATACACAAAGCTACTCGTTCAAGTAGTAAATTTGGAAATCCCCTAGAAAAGAAGAAAGTAGGAGCAGACCCTTTGACTCTTTGTATTAAGTTACGTTATTGGGTGACAATGACGTATTTCAATACACAACTTTCAGTTTATTTTACGAATTTCTAAACAAAAAAAAGGTCCCTAAACGACAGCCAACTTGTAAGAAGCTTAGACATGTCTCATCCATTCAGTACCACTGATAAAACGTGTTTGAAAGCGTATAATAAACGCTCTCAGGGGATAGACACACACACACACACACTTCCAGTTTCTAGTCGCCATTTTGGATAAATTCGTGTCTATGTTTTAGTAGTTTCTAGTGGGGAAATCACCTAGAAAACTAAATTTTCTACGTGGGCATCCCCTCGCAAAAATTATCATAAATTTGGTGTTTATGTGGCATTAAATTAAAATTATGCGTGGGAATCAGGGTTTGTTTAAGTGTAGATAATGCTGATATCGGTAAAAATAATGAGGTAAATTACTCTACTATCAGCAACCGAAGCGTACAGCTGTTTGTATCTTTACGTATTTCATAATTTAACAAAGATACAGTCGTTTATTATCGTTGTACTGTTGGATAAAACACAAAGTATTCGATTTTTAGATAGCCAACGTGTATAAGAATGCATCTACGCTCTACCCAGGCCGTCTGTCGGTTGATCCGTGCTCTTAAATCATGGCATTTCACCGGAGCCATGGAGTATTATACATAGAATCCCTTCCTATCCAAGACTTGGCGAAACAGTATGGCACCCCTCTTTATCTTTACTCCAAGCAGATTATCCTGGAAAAACTGGCCCAGTATGACCGGGGTTTGGGAGGTTGCGATCACGTAATCTGTTTTCCGGTGAAGTGCAATTCCAACCAAGCTCTGCTGCACTTACTGTGTCGTCAGGGGTGCGGTTTCGACGTCGCATCTTCGGGGGAACTGCTTCGTGTTCTAAAAATCCATTGCAACCCCCAAAATATCGTCTTTTCTGGTGTAGGCAAGAGTACCAACGAGCTAAAAATGGGTCTCGAAGTTGGGATCAAGTGTTTTAACACCGAATCGTGGCAAGAAATCGATCGCCTGGAAGAAATTGCTAGGAGCAGTGGCATTGTGGCACCCGTTGCAGTTAGAGTGAATCCAGACATCGATGCTGCAACGCACCCCTATCTTGCAACTGGATTAAAAAGTAATAAATTTGGCATCCCCCTAGAGGAAGCCCCCGAACTGTACTCCAGGATACGTTCTTCACCCTTCTTGAAAGCTGAAGGTGTGGATTGTCATGTCGGTTCTCAAATTCTACACCTCCAACCCCTACTGGAAGCTAGGGATTGTTTGCTGGAATTAGTGAACCGAGTCGGTAAATCTGGGGTTGACTTAAATTTCGTCGATCTGGGAGGTGGTATAGGTGTCCCTTATCGTCCCAACGATCCCTCACCAGATATTTCCGAGTGGGTTCGAACCCTCGCCGCTCCCATCTTTTCTAAAGGCATGCAAGTTATAATGGAACCAGGGAGATCTTTGTTGGCAGAATCGGGTGTTTTGGTCACTACAATAGAGTATTTAAAGAGGGGGTGCAAGAATTTTGCCATTGTAGATGCATCTATGACAGAATTAATTCGTCCAGCTCTCTATGGTAGTTACCATAGGGTGGAAGAAGTGATTAGGAGGGAATCAGAGGGCCAAATATACGATGTAGTGGGACCCGTTTGTGAAAATTCCGACGTCCTAGCGGAAGAACGACTCCTTCGAGTGTTACCAGGTGATTTGTTGGTTATTTACCATGCTGGAGCCTATGGTAGCTCCATGAGTTCTAATTTCTCCAGTAGGACTAGAGCTGCAGAAGTTATGGTAGACAATAATGCTTCTTACTTGATTAGAGAGAGAGAATCGGAAGAAGAGTTGAGGAGGAGAGACCATTTACTTCCAGAAGTTGCATTTAAATAACTTCGATTTAGCGCCGTCGTTGGTTTGTCTCCTTGAGAAGCTGAAAGTCGAGGGATCTGGTGAGTTTGAGGGGTTGAAAGTCAAGTGATTTTAGCGATAACATTGCCGTCTGTGATGCATAACCGTACATTTAGTAACTGACAGACTGAAGAGTTCGCATTAATTTATGGGAAAGATCCCTTCACAAGCACTCATCGCCACTTGACGGGGTTGGCGCAGTTCGGGAGGGCGATTTAGTCTTTAGAATGGTGACTTTTTGGCCACCCCACGCGTTGTAGGGAACTGAAAGATGTAAGAAGTAAATGTAAGCATTTATAAGGTACCGAGATTCGTGAGAATAAAGTGAAATTAAAATCGATTATTTAAAAGGTTAATTTAGTTTTCTAGAAAGGTTAACCGACTTTTGGACCACCCTGTAGCGAGGAATGCACGCTGAAACGAATACTAAACTCAAAAAGTCAAGCCTTGTTGTATACAGAAGCATCGAAGTTTCATTTTCAATTGTGAGAAAGGCGCGATGTTTATCACCTCCAACCAAGGAAGGGGACAAATCCCTCAGCAAACAGAAAAATCTCCCCCCAAATTCCTCCCTGTAAACAACGAAATCCCTCAAACAACGAATTCTCTCGCGGTTCGACGGAGAAAATTCCCCAATTCGCTGCCCGAAACGATAAATTCCCCAACGAAAAACGGAACCGAACCCGCGACTCCGACGTATTTCCTAATTAATAAACGGTTAAAAGGGGAGCAAATTTCAACATTTTCTTTTCTTTTCTTTTTTAAAATTATACCTCAAACGACTTAATTCCTCCTTTTAATTTTAAATCGGAAAACGTCATTCGAGACGGGGGCGGGGAGAGGGGCGGAGAAGTCGTAGTGTTTTTTTTTTATTTATATTTAAATTAGGAATTTCTTCGTAACTTTATCAAGCAGGTAGAAAAAGGGAGACGAAGTTGTGGCTCTCTAACACACACACACGAAACACAACGGTTAAGTATTTTTGGTGTTACGTTGCACTAAATCGTGATGGTTCCGTAACGTAACGTGGACTTTAATTAACTGGCTCAGTGTCGGATTCAGTCGAAATGACTGTATTTTATCGTTGGTATCTGCAACGTAATATAAAGCTTATTGTGTGTCTGGCTTGTATATTGGACGTCTTGTAAATCATGTCTTAGTTTATTACAGAAGGAAATATCGAGTGCTGTAAATCCCCCCTTTCTCCTCTCCTCCTCCTCCTCTTCTTCCCCCTTTTTTTCCCTATTTTCTTACGATCAAATTTTAATAAGGTGATGACAAATTCCCTTCTTCTCCGTAGAACACTAAAAAAAAACACAACAAAACACACACAATGCTTATTGTGCATTTGATCGATTGAATTCTACCGTCGAATTCCTATTTTTTTCGGAAAAAAATGTATTTAAAGTCGAATGGTTAATTTAATTGTGATGAATACTGATACCACTAATTAAATGTTTTCTTTTTATTCCCTTCTGTTTCTTGAAATACAAAAATTACACTTGGATTCTAGCCCAACGCTTCATTTCTTTGTCTTTTCCTCACATTTTCTATAGCTCAACACTTCATTTCTTTGTCTTTACCTCACATTTACTATAGTTTAACGCTTCACTTCCTCACCTTTTCTATACTTTAACACCATTTCTTCGTCTTCGTTTTTCCTCACATTTTCTATGGCTCAACACTTCATTTCTTTGTCTTTACTTCACATTTTCTATAATTGGAAGCTTCATTTCTTTGTCTTTTCTTCACATTCTTTACGGTTCAACCCTTCATTACCGTCAATATCAAATCTATAAATGCATTAAAAAGTTCCCCTTTTTAACTCCCGTTTTTGCCACCTTGTACTCTCCTCTTTTCCTCGTTCGTAAAGACAATTATAGCAGCCGACGATTGGTTTCTCGTGACTTCTTAAGCACCCCATCACCTTATATATATATACTTGTATTAATTGCGCAGGAAACAAGTGAATCTAGTGGAAGAGTATTAACGGGAGGAGAGAGATTCGATGTTTACCCTTTTTGCCGACTCTTTTAAAGGTGCGGGGTGATGGATGTTCGTCGTTTTTCTCTTGGCATTATCGAACGATCCACCCTCCTCTCTTTACACACGACTACAAAGGAAATGGCTCCCTCCTTTCTTCTTTCTTCCTTTCCTTTAAGTTATTAACATACCCCAGAAGTTTACTCCTGTTCTGCAATAAGCAGTGTTGTGTGCGATTTTTTTTTCCTAGTATTTTCCGTTCTTAACAAGGATTTTTGCGTGTTATTTAAGCATTTCAGGTATTTTCTAATGATATTTCCCTTTGTAATTTACATTTTTATATATCTACTTACTTTTCTTTATCCCATTTTAACCGGGTATAACGTTCAACTCTCAGTTCAAGCACAAAGGAAAGCCATAGACGACGTCACCCTCCATCCCCCCCGCATTATTTGAATCAATTTAACGAACGTTTCGTTAGAAAAATCATCTCTAACTTAATTAATTCTTCTAAAATAAGTATTATAAAATTATTTAATCTCACTTAAATCTCAATAATTTCGTTTAAAACGGTCGAGAAGGAGCCACTTTAAAAGCTTCTATTGAAAAGACGAGGGGGAAAACCCCGATATAGCGCATGTGTTTAGCCCAGGAGAGGTGACAACATCGCGAATAGAATTCGCCAAGTTGTTTGACAGAAGGGGACCGACTGCGATAGAGGGTTGCTATCATTCATCTTGTCTCTGCCACTAATCCTCAAGGCTAGTGGATTCTTTCGTCCCTTCCCAGCGTGACGTAGTGCCTGCTGACCCGAGATTAACGTTGCATTCGTTGTTTAACTCACGTCAAAAATCATAAATTCGGACGAAGGTTTAAATGAAATTACATTTCCTTCGGTCGTTTCCTCCATTTCCAAACTCGTACGACAAGTTGGGAGACAAAAGAAACACACTACGAAAGGGGGGGTGGTTGTGGTGTAAAAAAAGTGTGAAATTAAGGTCACCCTCCCGGCCGTTTTCTGGGTATAAAACCCATCTTCTTCAATAAGCAACATAGTTGAAAGTGTGGGTAACTCGAGAAGTCCACGCGTGTCGTTGCATCGAGTGTTTGTCTAACGACACAAGTCACTCATGGCACACTTGTGTCGTCGGAATGGTCAGGGGTATTTCGATTAATTCGTTTACAGCTAAAATGGGATTAGAGTAGCCAAAAATTCATACGAAAACGGGGTTACATTTGCCAGAAATGGGGGGTTACAGTAGCCCTAAATAGGTCAAAAAAGAGCCATTTTCTAAGAGGAACCAAACCAAAACGGGGGGCCAAAATACGTCCAAAAATGGGAGAGTAAGTAAAGACGTCAAACCATCGGTAGCCGGGGTGGGTCGAACTTCCCTACGGACACTCTTAAAAAGAGAAGAAGAAGAAGAAGAGGGATACCAAACGAAGCTTCCCTCTAAAATCCCAAGCTTAAAACAGCATTGGTACAAGTGTACACGCCCGAGGAGACAGACGCGTACCCTCCTCGGTCCACCATTACCGGTCGCAGCGGAGGTTTTTACGAGAATTTTTATGACCGGCCCGGGAGGCTCGGGGAATTCCAATGGGGGAGGCTGCGGGTCCCTCTAAAATAAAAAAAGAAAAAAATATATATACAATATAAAAAAAAAACGTCGCTTCCCTTCGCGTGCTAAGTAGCGGGGGAAATACGTCGCCAAATAAATCAATAAAAAATATTTAAAAAAATGCAAATGGCCACCGAATTTTTCGGCTCGTTACCATGATTCTTTCCCCCTCCTGTGTTTTTTTTTTTTAATTTTATTCTTACCATCGTTAATTGCCGAGGGATAAGTTATGCCCGAGCACCGAGTAATTCGCTCTGCATATTTTTTTAACGTGGCGAGAAATTACTCGTTGCGTCATCGCACGTGGTGGAAGAAGAAGGAGAAGAAGAGGATGAGGAGGAGGAGGAGGAGGATGAAGACAATGACGTCGCACTTCGGTGCTTCGTTCCTTCATCCTCGTGTTAATTGCCGTCTTAATACGTTGTTTCCGCACAGATTGTTTATCTTTTATTATTTTACGGTTCGTATTGGCCCACCCGACCGCGCGGTTAACTGATTTTTGGTCCATCCCGCGGGCATTAACGACGGGAGTAAAGGGAGATGCAGTTTTTCACTTTAACGTAAGGCGTAACGTAACTAACTGTGGGTTATAATGTGCCACACAGATACAGAAAAGTACCCATATCACGTGGTAAAGGTTTTATACGCCTAGGGCCTCACGTGTCGAATTTAAGTATAAGGTGGAGGATAAGTTACAGCTTCGATCATTTTTGAGGGCCTCACTGGTGTTTCGACTTGGTAACCACGGTATGCCTCAGTCGACAAAGCGGTAGGGCCTCCGTGTGACGAGTTTGCTCATTATATAAAGCGACACAGGATGAGAAGAAAGGCCTCGAAATGGAAAATTTCACGAGTGAAGAGGTCTGGCAAGATATTAACTGTAATTGCGATGGTTGAGGGCATAGCCTAGGTGTTAAAAGACGTTCGTGCCTGTCTAGTATACGAGATGTTGTCTGCAGCCATCACACAGCGGGACCGTCTTCCATTGTCAGCAATGACGTTTGAATCTTATGGTGTTGTCAGCATTCTATTTGTTTTGCAGACGCCAAATGGAAACTGTTTGTCAGCACATTCTGTATGAATGATGTGCAGAACCTGTTTCGTTTTCCCTAAATAAGCAGCAGTTAACAGTTTCGTCCCGCGTGTAGGTGTTTCTATGCCTTATGTAGATCAAATTATCGTTTCAGGTGTCATTAAAGCTCCCTCTCTCTCTCTGCTCGTTATTTCACGTCACTTGGTAGCCAAGTGTTCGTTTCCTATCCCTGGTGTATGTTAGCAGAGCGTGCAACCTGCTTTAGTAGGACTTTGCAGCCATCCCCCTGAGTTATTTTGGTGTTTCTAACAATTCTTTGCATAATTTTACCTGTCTTGAGCTTAATTTTATGTTATTTATTCTACAAAATGCTCTTAAGTTAAACAAACTATAGCTTGAGGTACCATACTTTTCAATTTATTATTATTTGGTGAAGGGGAAGGGCCTCTTATACATTACAGCTTAGACTAAATTCGCTCTTAAATAATCTTGTAAATGGGCCATTCTGACTGCAAAAATCCACCAGAATCGTGTTGGCTAGAGGAGACTTTTTAGGTTGTTTTTGCTATTTTTTCAAGTCGCTTGTCATTTTGCCCGAGAGAATTAGCTTCTGTCTCGGGTGGTGACTCGACATTGGTGAGTGCCACCCACCGAGAGGGTGGAGTGTAGTCATCACTGATGCAGACTCCAGGCTGCCACTCGGATATTCGACTTTAAAATCGATTAGATAAGTTGAAAATTTTCAAAAACACTCTCTCTTCTTCCTGTATCGTTTTCCTTAGCAGAAAACACTACAAAAATCCCTCAGCAAACAACATAACAATTCCATCTCGCAGCAAAATTTTTCATTCTCTTCAGAAAACCTAGCGAAATCCTCATTTTTTAACCAGAAACACAGTATTAAATACCAATAT